TCAAGAGCTCGACCTTTGTCTTGTGGAAACGAAGGACGGGAACAGCCCCTCTGCGCACGAAGGATGTTGCCAACCTCTGTCAGTGTTGTCCAGGCCGTAGCTCTTGTATACGGCCGACCAGCAATGATCCTGAGGGCCTTCGTTCCCCCGCTTTCCTAATTAGGGTTTAGGGTTTAGGGTAATATCACATTTGCGTACTTGCCCTCATTGCCTTCAGACATGTGCATGTTGTCCTCGTTTTGCGCGGCCACCGCTAGCAAACACAGTTTATATAGTACATATGTAGACTTTCCGGATTACACACACACACACACATTTCTATATACATATATATATATACAGATATATACAATGCATATTGCACATATATATATATATATATATGTGTGTGTGTGTGTGTGTGCGCAGTCGTATATTTTCCTTGTGTGTGTGTGCATATATGATAAATACAGATATGGTATGGTATACGCTATGTAGTATACGTCGCACATCTAGCAGTCTGTGCAGTACACATACAGTATATACACATGCATTTGCTGTATTATCATACTTGTGTATGGTACATGAATAGTGCATACATATATATATATATATAATAGAGAGAGAGAAGTCTTTGTATGTATGTGTGTAAACCTCACAAAATGTATATGAATTGTTTTTCACACAGTGTCATTGACCAAAAAACGCAAAACAAAAAAAACAACACACACACACACACACACACACCCGCGCGCGCACACTCACATAGAACGTTCGAATGTTGCACCTCCTGCTCGGCGCGTGTTGCGGCCTCGAAGGCATCCATCTCCTGCGGCAGGCATCGCCACAGCACAGCAGTCGCTTGAGCAACAGACAGCAGGGTTTAGGGTTTAGGGTTTATAGGGTTTATAGGGTTTAGGGTTTAGGGTTTAGGGTTTAGGGGGCAATTCCCGAGCTGCGGCCATAATTGGCGCAGGCACCGCGATGCTGCGTGGGCAAAAAGAGTTGACTTTTGCCACTTTTGCAAGCTGCAACTTTTGCACGGGCAGGTTCAGGAGTTTCGGTTTCAAGCCCTCAGCATCACGTCAACTGCCCCACTTCTAACGAAGGCAGTCACAAGAGCGTCCAAGCTGGGGCACAGCTTGCCTTAAGTAGCCACAGCAACTGAAACTAACACAGTCACCACCGGAGTAGCAACGACAACTATACCACCTTAGTTGCCCAGTGGCCCAGTGCCCTAGGGAACTAAAGGTTAACTGTTGGGATTACATAGGGGTTATAATACCCCCAAAAGGCTAAAGGTTACTCACTCTACTTGGAGGTTCATGGTACTTAGTAACTAATGATAACTGTACTTATAAGTTATAAGTTATAACTGTACTTATAACCATATTAGGGCACTTTAGGGGCTTGTAAGTGGGTTATAAGTACAGTTATAATTAGTTACTAAGTACCATGAACCTCCAAGTACTGCTAAGGGAAGCTGTCCTGTTCCGCCTGGCGCGCAGCTTCGAGGGCTTGCTCCGTGGCTTCCGTATGCTTCTCCTTGTCCTTGCAGGACATTGAGCAGCTGGAGCGGGTTTAGGGTTTGGGGTTTAGGGCTTAGGGCTTAGGGTTTAGGGTTCCCTTTCTTTGGGGTTTACACAGAAAGCTGACACTCTATACAAAAGGGCCCTACAGGTGACAGGGGGTTCCCAGAGACAAACGTATGGCTGCACGCCTGCTCGACGGGAGACGAATCTGTCTGCCACCTGAGGCAGCTGGCCACGCATGATGCTCAAGCGCATAACGAGTGCTGCAATGTCAATTTAGATTTGGATCCTTGGGCGCAGAATGTATGACAAGGAGGGCTGCAACTTCAATTTAGATTTAGAGCCTTGTCTTTTTGAATTGTGAGGACTTCAGCTTTAGCAGTTTGTGATGTGCCAACAGCATCTGCAGCGATCACTTGCTTTCCATAGCGTAAGGCGTTGCTGGAACCCCGCATCTCCATGCCCACTGGAACTCAGAAGCCAAAGCGACATTCTCAGTTGTGCTTAAAACCCTCTGAAAATTCTGAAGGCAAATTAAAAAGTTATCTCAGAGCACGACCTAGAATTGTGCATAGGCTCGCCAACAAACTCATCTTCCCACATGGGCTCCGCACTGGGTAACCATCCAGGATCCCGTGGGGTCAAAAGCCTGGTGCTGAGCTTCGCCAAGCAGGCTTCGGGGATTTTCGCCCTTTAACCTAAACCATAAACCCTAAACCCTAAACCCTAAACCCTAAACCTTAAACCCTAAACCTTAAACCCTAAACCCTAAACCCTAAACCCTAAACCCGGGGGGGGGGGGGGGGGATTCTGCAACCTTCAACCCGAAACCCGAAATCCGAGATGTGATGCCATGCCCTCTACCCACAATAAAGGGCCCAAGTAGCTCTATATATATATATGTATATATACAGATATACATATATATATATATATATGTATATGTATATATATATATATATTTATTTATTTATTTATATTTATATTTAGGGCATGCGATCCCCTGACCTCATGAGGCCAGTTTAGGAAGATTACAGTCGGCTTAGGGTTTAGGGCCGGTGTCTTGCAGTGCAGGCGTAGGAGTAGCACGCATGCTGCAACGGCATAGGCAGGGGCCTCTTCGATCTGCTCCTTTCTTGTGAGTATCAGCCTTGTGCAGCTCACAGGGCTTCATCAGGGGTTCCCTTCACTCTTGGGTTTAGGGTTTAGGGTTTGGGGTTTGAAGTTTCGGGTTTAGGGAACTTGCGGGGGTGCGCATTCCCTCCGGCGTGGAACATCCAATCCCATAGATGCTTCCAAGAGCTTCTTGACGTGTATTCCTGCTGTGTATCCGAAATTGCTCCCTTGCTGAAGGTCCTTCTAAGGGGGCATATTCTGGAACTCCCATTTGCGCAGCAGAAAAGGCAGCTTGTCTATCCTCTGAGAGGTCTTTTCTAAGTCTAAATAGTATGATTGCGATGCTGGGGTCTAGGCTTTCGGGTCTGCGGTTTATGAAGTTCCGAGTAAACTCATGTGCTCCTAGAAGGCGGAACCTGTTTGAAGAGTTAACAGATGCAAGCGTCACGCCTGCGAGCAGGATTGTGTGCCACTGTTCACTCTGAAGCTTGCTTTATACGATTTGCTGAGCGATGTTCATTCATCCCTCAAGATAAGGGTTGTATGCAGCATGAGTTCGCCTCGGCTTCCTGCCGAGAAGCGTCTGGAACAAGCAGACCCGGATCGGGCCTCCATACAAAATTTGATGACGCCACCCCACCCCCCCCCCACCCTGTGGGACCCGCCCCCAATCGCTTGGAGGAGCTCCACCCCCCCCCCCCACCCCGCCCCCCTTTAACCCCGCTGCCCTTCCTCCCCTTTTTTGCGAAACCCTCTTTCCTCCTTTCCTGTCCTGGGGCCGGCCCGGCTGCCGAGGCGGCGCGCGCAAGCGTTTACAATTAAAACGGTCCTTCAGTCGGGTCTGGTGTTTGACGTGCTTCTGCTGCTGTCAGGACCCCGCTGAGACTGGACATAAGACTTTCGTGGCGTCCCTAAACCCTAAACCCCAAACCCCAAACCCTAAACCCTAAAACCCTCAACCCTAAACCCTAACACCCTAACACCCTAAAACCCTAAAAACCCTAAGCCCTCCCTAAACCCCCAAGAGCCCTAGGGTTGGGGGTTCAATAGGCGGGGGAGGGGGATTACTGTAGTTTTTGCACATCATGTATGAGCACGCGCACATGTGACTTCGCAGCAAACCTTGCGAGCATTGCACATGTTGCAGTCTATTGCCATGCTGCTATACTATAGTGGCGGGTGAACTTGGCACCATGCTCCTCAGAGACGCAGGAGAATGCGGTTTGCACCTGGGACACGGTCTGCTGCTGCATACAGTTAGAATACGATCAGCCACTCTTTCATTGACAGAGAAAGAAGTTCACGAGGCCACGTATTCAGCCGTTGTACATCGCTGTCCGCTGCTGGCCTCTAAAAAAAGCTTTCAACTGCAACAGTGCTGTTCATGTCAGAAGTACATATTAAAAACACATTAGAACTATATGATGGATATATGATGTACGAAGAATCAGGACATGTAAATGGCGTATATATATATATATATACATACACATATCACAAGTAACTGATACACATATGATGAATGTGTGATAAATATGTGATAAACTATATTTATATGTACACCAACATTACAAACTTACTACAATGACGCCAGAAAATATGTTTTAAACACATTGTAACCTTTCATCAATGTATTATGAAGACATTCCAAATATGTACAAAGTTATACGCACACGCTGTATCTAATTGTCTACCTATTTTGGGCTCTTGTATGTCTAGGGTGTGGGTGAAGTTACGGGCAGAGGGCCTTTAACTCCCTGGGGGGTTGTGGATATAGGGGTTTTACAGTCGACGCAGAAAGCCGAACCAGATTGAGAAGCAGCTTCGCACAAGGAGGATGGAGATTGAAGATTGAAGAATCTTCAATCTTCAACCTTCAGCCTTCAATCTCCATGGAGGGTGAAGGCAGGGTTTGGGGTTTGGGGTTTGGGGTTTGGGGTTTAGGGTTTAGGGTTTAGGGTTTAGGGTTTAGGGTTTAGGGTTTAGGGTTTAGGGTTTAGGGTTTGGGGGGGGGGGGGGGGGGGGGGGGCGACGGCAACTAGATCTCATCTCCGGATCAGTCTCCTATGGGTTAAAACCAGCTGGAGTAGGCCAGCGACTTAAGACCATGATTCTGTAAGCGCTTTTGGGGAATGCCATGACCTGCGCTGAAGTTCTTGGCCTGTTGATATCTTAATTCAATTTCTGCAAATAAGTAGCCCCGGATGATGACAATGGCGCTGAACTGGGTGCTACATCGTGAACTGGGGAAAGCAGAGAATGATTAAGAACCTACTCTCACACACACAAAACCATGAGCATGTCCTGTAACATGTAATTAATTTTAGGTCATTCATGGACTCCGAATTGTATGTTGTGCCGATGTATACTCTCAATCGGAACTCCCGCCAAGTTGAACGCGTCAATCGCTTACAACCTTGGTTGATGTAGTTGGAGGTCAAGTACATTCTCAAGTTATGCATATTCCTAGATGACTGCTGATATGTGGAATAATGACCTTAATCATATTCGTCCCACCCTCCCAAGTTACAAATGTAATAAGTGACAAAACTGCAGGTCAAACACCATTCAGAAATTTAAATAGTACCTTACTGTTCCAATGACCCGGCATATTGGAAGAGGCTCGGGACAACCGACGCGCTGAATCATGGTGACATGCAGGGGCTAGTTTAGATCTGAATATAAGATATTGGATGAATCTCTTTTAGGCTTGATTCCCATACTTGGAGGTCAGCTATAACAAACTATACTGTATAGCTTGGCCTTCTTGCATTAGTAATCGTAACCCTGATCCCAACCCTGAGATTTGAAGAAAACCTGGCCGGTTGATAGTAGAGGTAGTTTCAATAGTGTAACCGACCTTCAAATGATGGGGTGAACAATATGACGAAGAGGAAGTTGCCAAAGTCAATGAAACACATTTAAGCTTCTGGTTAACAAAAATTCAGGTCACAAGCCTCTCAAGCAATACACTTGTGCCACATATGTACGCACATATATTGCACGTTTTCAGACAGAGCGTCTGCAGAAGAACCAGGTGCTGACACCAAAAAAGGTAGAGTGGGTAGCATACATATACATATATACGTACACATGTGCAGATGCACATGCATATGTATCAAATATACATATGTATACATATTTTAAATATAATAGAACAGAACATACTAGTCAATTATATTGTGTATATAATACATACATATATGTTAGATATATGTATATATATATACATATATAGCATATATATATATATATAACAGATATATATATATATATATGCACGAGGTCTGCACCATTTCGTTGTGCCTCTGAACTGCTCGAGGGGCCTTGCAAGATGAGGAGGATGCAGGATGCACCAGAGACGTCACAAACAGACTTCAGCCTACTCAGGATAGAGTTAGGGTGCAGGGTTTTGGGGGGCAGGTGACTAAACTTCAGCCTAGTCAGTATACAGTTGCCCATGTAGTTTGGGTGTAGGGCTTTTGAGGGGCAGGTGTAGACGTCATTGCCGCCATGCTACGGATCACCCTAACCCCTAAACCCTAAACCCTGAACCCTAAACCTAAACCCTACACCCTAAGCCCTAAACCCTAAACCCTAAACCCTACACCCCAGGCCTCCTTTTGAACCTTGTCGGGCGCCACAAGTGCCAACGCCTGAAGGCAGCAAGGGTTAATGGGGTTTTTAGGGTTTGTTTATAAGGCTATCAGGTTTTGATAGGGTTTAGGGTTTAGGGTTTAGGGTTTACGGTTTAGGGTTTAGGGTTATCAGGCTATAGTAATTCTAGTTTATGATGCTATAGGGTTTTTATAGGGCTAATCTGTGGTTTATAGGGATGTTATAAGGCCATAGGTGCTTTTTTAAATATGTTTTATAGGGTTTTTGTAGAGTTTTTATAGGGTTAGTATGTGGTTTATAGGGGTGTTATAAGGCTGTAGGGTTTTGAAAATATGTTTTGTAGATTTTTTTATTGGGTTAATATGGTTGATAGGGATTTTATAAGGCTATAGGGTTTTTATAGGGTGAATATGGCTTCTAGGGATTTTGTCAGGCTATAGGGTTTCTTTTGGGTTAATATGGCTTATGGGAATTTTCTAAGGCTATGGGCTTTTTATAGAGTTAATATGGTTTATTTTGATCTTATAAGGCTATAGGGCTTTAATAGGGTTAATATGGGTTAATCTGGTTTATAGGGATTTTATAATAAAGGCTACAGGGTTTTTAAAAATATGTTTTACAGGGTTCTTATAAGAGTATCGGGTTTATAGGGTCCCGAGAGGCTGTGTTGATTTGCGGTCATCCTCGCTGATCACTTGGAGCCTACAGTGCAGGACACGGGGGGGAGACACTAAATTCTCACATCTGCGGAAAACTGCTATTCCGGCCGTGGGTGGCAAAACTTCAACCCTCAGCCGTACAGAGCCCAAAACGTGCTGAGCGCTACGAGTAAAACCCTAAACCACTCAAACCCAAAATCCCGAAGCAGCATCGGCCTTATCCTGGCCAGCACGGTGCGCGGTCTGAACCAAGAACTGCTCATTGGCTTCATCACCTTCAGCGAGGTCAGGGCTTTCAGGTTTAAGAACTAGGGTTGAGTGTTTTTTGGGGCTGGGGAGCTTGTGGCTTCAGGGCTCTGGGGCTCCGCTGTTCTGGCGATGCGTGGCGGCTTTTGTGGCAAACGAGATCATGCTCTTGGCGCCGGGCAAAGGCCTTTCACAAAGGCCTTGACGCTGGGCTCCTTCAGTGACAAGTCTGGAACACCAAACTTCAATCTTGTCCATACCTGCAAGCAATTCGCGAGAAGCTGCGACAAGCAATCCTCTACCTACACCGGCTGGTGTCGGACATGACAACACCAATAATCCTGACCAGGCTTATCCTGTTGTCAGCTATAACTATAAATTCTGAACCCTCAACCCTAAAACCCGAAACCCTGCTGGCCCTCAACCGTAACACGTAGACTCCATATCCAGCCCATGTTCTCGAACAAACCTGACTCCGAAGTGGATCTGAAGCACGGGGGAGATGCCTGGCCTCTTTGACGCTGCAGGGTAGCTCCAACTGGATATTGCACTGTCTGGACTGACCCCCCATGTTGACTCAGACTTGAGTTGTTCGCCTTGATGGCCTCCTGCCATAGGGTGACGAAGAAGTCACCACAGGGAGTCGTCGTCACTAAAACTGGCCATCCCAGGACGCGCTATTAGGCCCTAAAATCCCCATAATCAACCCTATATAGGGCCCTTTTAAGGGGTTATAGGGCATAATCGCCCGTCCTGGTCCAAACGACGCATTATCGCGGATGCAGCCTTTGGCTGCTGGAGTGAAATAAAAACATGAGCGCCTTTGCACCATGTCTTCGCAAGAAACCCGAAAGAACTTTCACGAGCGTGTCATGGGTAGCCTACTTCTCTTTCCAATGTCTCGGGGACCACTCAGAGCCGCGGACTTGAGAACACAAGCGCATGAGGCTGGTGATGCTTTGCTTGAGGCACTGCATCTCGGCCTTGCCAGGGGTGCGGTCTATGGGTTTAGGGTTTAGGGTTTAGGGTTTAGGGTTTAGGGTTTAGGGTGTAGGAAAGCTTGGGCACAGGCAGTTCCAGGTGTCGGGCTCACTTCGCGAGACCCTTCTGTTGTTCGACACTGTGTGCTATTGTTGCAACGTACACAAGCACCAGCCTCCATGAATGATTGGAACTTGCCTTGGCTCTTGATCATCCAGGTCTGATCCTGTATAAGCTGGCCGACATCCATTGCTTTCGCTTGGCCACGAAAACGGAGGCACCCCATGAAGAATTCCTCCACATCTACAGAACCACCTCCATCGGAATCCAGCAGTTTGAAGAAAGCCCAAGCATCCCACACGTCTAAACCCAATGCTTCAAAATATGTGCTTACGGCATCCGAGCTGATGTTCTCTTCGAACATCTGCAAAGTTATGAGCCCGTCATCGGTTGCACCCAATCTTCCGAACAGCTCTTGTATCTTGCGTACATGCTTTTCCTTGTTCATCAACATGTTTTGCATCAGCGTCACTTGGTCGTTCTGTGCAGATTCAATAGCTGACCTGAGCTGAAGCTTGGTTCCATGTCGAAAGCTATTCGATCGGCAATAATTCGAGCTGACTAAGACCATTCAAAAATGTTCCCAAGTGCATACAAAATGCTGGCAGAACACCGCAGTAACAACCTTACGCGTAGAACTTTGTCATGCAAATACCGCAAAACGGGCAAAACACAAGCGGAGGCCAACAAGAAGACCTACATAAACTCACGCCGGCAGAAATCTGCCAGACTCTCACAGTTTCAAATCGCTGCTTGCATGTGCAAGTGCAAGGCACAGAGTTGCCAAAACCTAGCAGTGCATGTGCCTCCAGAAAAACTATTTGTGCATCCGTGCGAATTGGCCGAAACTGAGGCTCGCTCGTTGAGAACTGCAAAGTACGTGAACGCAATATACCCGACATAGCAAATCACCCAGATAGCTGACACCTCTCTGAGGGGGGGCAAGGCTTGCTCCCAGCTCACACCTCCGGCCAAACTCATGAAGAGAGTCAGCATGCTGTCGTGCAAGGAGCCAAAGTAACGTTCTGCAGCTTCTGCATTTAACAGAGCACCGTACTCGTTCTTGAAGTCGTTGACTGCTTGAGTAAACAACACAGCGAACACCTCAGGTCAAAAAAAAACTCCCCTCAGAGCCTTTATAAAAATAAAATGTTTCATATCCTCTTGGGTTTTATATGAACAAAAAAATAATTCCCAAGGGGGATATAGGTGTGACAGTGGGAATCTGCATGAAGAAACACGCCGGAGCATATCGACGCAGTACATGATCTTGATTTGTAAGGTTCGGCATTCCAACATGTAGGGGTAGCATAATGTAACCATGTGGCTGATTGCGCAAACCCGACACACACACAGACACACAGACGCACAGACACACACAGAGACACAAACACGCGACCACACACAGAGACAGCGGAGACACAGAGACACACACACACACACAGACGCAAACACAGACACACACACACACACACACACGCGCGCGCGCGCACAGAGACACAGACAGAGACACAGACAGAGACACAGACAGAGACACAGACAGAGACACAGACAGAGACACAGACAGAGACACAGACAGAGACACAGACGCACAGAGACACACACACACACACTGATGCATGAATGCACTCGAAAGTTGCAAATGCACGCGTGACGGATGCACATGCCCTCAGAACTGATGCAACCATGCAGAATCACAGGCACATGAAGCGCATGCAAGTGCAGGCCGACGCATATGCCCTCGCGCTCTTCACTGCCTAAAACCTGATTTGAATCCCTCGTGGAACACCACGACAAACATCGCAACCG